ACGGGCGGGGGGGGGGGGGGGCGGAGTCGGAGAAGAACTGAGTTCCAGGTGAAACCAGTATTTACATATTGCGCAGACCAGCTCAGGGGTTCCAATAAGGCGCGGGGCGCACAGTGCCACCATATTTAATGAGGGGAGTATGGTAATGATGTCACCTGACTGTCTCTGACCTCAATAGCTCAAGTCACTGACCCGAAGCAATCACTGACCTGCAAGCTTCTTCTGGGTCAGCATCTCGGAACATACTTCCACCACCACTGGATAAGCAGGACAGACAGGAAACCAACAATGACAGAGGGAAGGGTCACCAGTGGCCTTCTACATATAGTGGGAGTATCCCTCCATGAGAGTGGACGTTCCCTTTAAGAAGAGTTCAGCACTGCCCTTACAATGTGCTGGACGTTCCCATTGGTGATACAATTTTGGATGGACCTACAATGCGTTTCCTTTAACTGGAAGCAGAGACAGGCGACCTACCCCTCAACACTATCCCAGGGGTAGGTGCTCCTGACTGCAGTGTGTGCGGCCAAAACCCAGGCTCATCTCCTCCACCTCCGATATCACAGAATGGATGCAATGGCTGCAGCAGCCACAGGATCTTGAGCCGACGCGTTTCACCCCCACTCACGTTGAATGGTGGCATGAGGCACTGCAACACTCCGACAGCCACAGGCATGCCGCCCAGAAGCATAATGTGGTTTGTAGTTGGCCGGAGTTGAAAAGCCAAGGTTGCTTACCCCCCTGCCCTCTATTTGTTGTAGGACAGCGGGATGGAAAGAGACGTGGGACAAAAAGCTTACCCATCTCTAAAATTCAAGGGCTGCCTTTCTACAGGACACAGGGGGACCAGTAGAGGTCGGAGAACTTATGCCAGGGGTAGGCAACCTTGGCACTCCAGCTATGGGGTGACTACAAATCCCATGAGGCATTGCAAGACCCTGACAGCCATGACTCCCAGAGGCATGCAGGACCCTCTCTATGAGGCAGCTGCCTCAGGTGACATTTCATTGAGTCACATGGGGCCAAAACGTTCCAGGTTGACGTCGTCCTACCCAGCTTGTGGCAACTAGTGAGCTGGGTGGGATTCCGGTAACACCCGGCCAAACCCCGCATCTCTGC